AGTCGGGAAGCTCCAGCCAACACTGTCCACCATGGGTACCCATTACCACGACTGGCACATCACTGTCACAGTCTTCAGCATCACAGCAACCACGACCAGAGCTCCTCGTGAGTATTAATAATACTTAATAACCATTTATTGTGCTGTCTAGAGTCCATTGCCATTTATGTCGACCTCATGTGTCGGAGTTGAATTAGAACTTTGATCCATCGGAATTTGGTTATATCTTAAAATGCTAAACATATACCTGACATAATATGTAGCCATTTTACTTCTAGAAATTTACCCAAGAAAATGAAACATTTGCCAATACAAGACTTATACAGGAATATTCATGTTGTTGTTGTTGTTGTTGTTAAGTGCTGTCAAGTCACAGGCGACTCATAGTGACCCTATGAAGGAGAGTCCTCAATGCTTGGGTGTCTTTCATGCTCTCTCCAGGTTCATAGGGTTTCTGGAGGCAAGCTATTACGGAAGTGGATGCCACTCCTCCTTCAAAGCTTGTTTTAATTGGGGAGCTCCACCCCACTCTGTCCACATTGGGTAACCAACCGTTAACACATTTGACACATCAGTATCACAGTGTTCAGCCTCACAGCAACCACAAGTTACCGCTGTATGGCAACTTGTACACCAGGGCTATACGACCTAGAGGAATGTCCGAGTATTTATAGCAGCATTATTTTTAATAGGCTCAAATGGAAACACTGCAGAGACTCATCAGGTTAACCGAAAACAAATTGTACACACACAAGGGAATACTATTAGCAATAAAAGGAGTGAACAATTGATGCGTTCAGCCGTGTGGCTATGAACCTAAAAAGAATTATGTTGAGTGAAAGAAGTCAACATATGTATATATATATTTTTGTCAAATCAGAACCGACCCATAGTGACCTCCCTCCCCAGCAGAGTTTCAGAGGCTGTTAATCAAAAACGAGGAGACTACCCATCTTTCTCCCTCAGTGCAGCTGGTGGATTCAAACCTTGTGCCTTCTGGATTGCAGCTGCAGCTTCTTAGGACTAGGCCACCAGAGCGCCATATGTACCGTTCCCTATGTATCGTGTAGTTCCATTTAAATAAAGTTCTTAAAAAATCTATAATGACAAAAAGCAGATTAGTGATTCCCTGGGGTTGAGGGTGAAGGGATGAAAGAGTGGAGATGAATGAGAAGCCCTTAACATGCAGTGGCATAAAGAATCTTTTTCAGAGTAGTCCATGATCTTGAATTATAGTAATGGTTTCACAGATGTATTCATATGTCAGAACTTCTCAAATGATATACTCTAATAATTTACTATTATGTGCTAATTATGCCTCAATAAAGTTGTTTTAAAAAGTTATTTGATGAAATTTTAAAATGTTCTATATTTCAACAACAACAACATATTCCAACCAAATTTGAGCCTGAGGAGGAGTCTGGACAATCACTGCATGATTACCTTCAATTTTACAAAATGAGGCTGGTACTTTGTTTTCATATTTCATTGAGAATATAGCGCCGATTAGATTGAAAGATAAATGGAAATACTTCTTTTATTTTAATTTTTTAATTTGCATATAAGTTTACAAATCATGTTGGTTTTTATTCATCATCAATACCATTTTGTTTTATAACACTTATAATTGATTAATGTAATTACTTATAATATCTGATCAACTTTTTATTGTATATTGCCTTTCCCTGCCCCCAATTTATCTATTTATTAATCCTTCCTTCCTTATCCTGCCCTTCTTA